TATCAATAAAAAATTATTTTTAGGCTACATGCAATTAGTTTTCATAGATTTTCATTTCTTTTGTCGGTGCTCAGGAGAGCTAAGCTCATGGCCGATATTTTAAAATGACATTTCTCTTTGCCAATGTTAATGAGAACAGTTTCATTATTATTGACAAGTTCATTCACATTGAATTTAGTTCTCATTATTATTGTTTCTACCAAAAAACGAGCCCTTGAAGTTATGCTTTTTTTGCTTGATTTGTTTTCGTGTGACAGCATGCAAGTAAAATGACAGTTATTGTCATTCCTTGTGAATCACACATTTTCCGTGTGACAGACTTTAGCACCTGGTCATCTACAGAAGTGTTATTCATTCTGGAAAAGGGCGAACAGCGGTGACTGACAACACAGACTAGGCTGCGTTATTCTTTTGTACTATATATGTCACTGTGCATTCATTTATAACTTTATAGAGCTCGGATTTCCTGCTTAAAATGTGACAACAACTGTAGAGTTTCCACATTTTTGCAACAATCCACATGCCTTTCATACACTATTGCACATTTTCGTAAGCACCTTACAAAATCTGTATATTTCCGTAAGACCTTACATTCTGCATTTTCCTTATGAAAGCTTCTGTACACTCCATACACTTTCCTTATCCTTCCATCATGAACTCTCCGTATGCTCCATAAGTTTCCTTATCTTTCCTTATCCTTCCATATACTCCATAAAAAGCTTTCCATATATGCCATACATTTTCCTTATCTTTCCGTATACTCCATAAAAAGCTTTCCGTATACGCCATACAATTTCCTTATCCTTCCTTATACTCCATAGGAAGCTTTCCGTAAATGCCATACAACTTCCGTATATTTCCATAAAACTCCATATTTTTTCCGTATGTAGCATAAGGAAATGTTACGGAGTCCATATATTTTCCGTAAGATTTCATACGGAACGTTTCAGTAGGGCGCGCGCATGGTCTCTTGGATGGAGATGACATCCAATGGGAGACATCCTGCTTCCGCTACACTTCCCAATGCTGATGAGCTCTTCAGTAGCCCTAGACAGATTCGTAGGCAACTGTTGCGTGCGGCTTCCCAAAATCTCTTATTTACTGGGGATAATCGGCGAAGCACCGGTAGACAATAGCGTAGTGTTCCTTCAATGTACGCTTTCTGAAGCAGTACCATAGAGTGGCATCTACATCACAATCGTGTTACAGCCATGAATTTGAAGAGTTGAGTTGCTGCTACTATTCTAGTTCGAAGTTTCTTCACCTGAGGAGATCAGGAAGTATTTCCATCGTTGATGAATCCCAGAAATCTCTGAGACCATACATAGGCCAGCTGCCGTCCACCGAGGGGTAATGCATACTTGCTCATTTTCTTTCTCGTGAAAGCAATGGCTGTGGTCTCTTTTGGTGAAAAGTGCATGCCTCGGGGCGCCTAATATTTGGAGATGTTCTGTTAAGCTTTTTATTGTCGCTGTTTGGCGATATAGTGTGACCTTGAAGCGCTCCAGATACAGATGTCATCGTCGTAAATCTTGATGTGTACTCCTCGAGGAAGTGAATTTGTTAAGTGTATCAGGGTAAGGTTGAAAAGGAGCCGGCTGAGTATGACACCCTGGGGTACACCCTTCTCGACTGTTTAGTACAGTGTGGGACCATTGGGAGTGCTCATATATATTTCCCGCTCTTCTAAATAGTTCTCGATTCATTTGTATTGATTCCCTCCTAGGCCAATATCTTCCATTGTTGCGAGAATGGCATGGTGAAAGACTGAGTCGAAACCTGCCTTGATGCCAAGGAATACGGCTGTCGGGATTCGACCTGCGGAGAGGTCTTTTTCAAGGAAAGAGACAAGGGCGATGACATTGTCAATAGCCGACCTGCCTTGGCGGAACCCATTCATTTCTTGCGGAAATTCGTTGCGGCTTTCTAGGAACCATGTGAATTATTTGTGAACAATTCGCTCCGTGAGTTTGCCAACGCAACTCAGAAGAGTGACAGGCGGGAAAGAGGTGTAGCTTGTTGGCTGTTTACCAGGTTTCGAAATGGGCACTTCTTTCGCATGCTTCTATTCATCGGGGACCACTCCAGACATCTACGAGGAACTATAATATTCTAGGAGTCATAGTCGGGACGCGTGGGGTATCTTTGCAATGACTTCATAGGTTGCTTCGTCATGGCCAGGTGATGTGCGCCTGTTTGACTCACCGATAGCCGTGTTCAGTTCCTCAATTGTAAAACATATGTCTAGCGCTGGCACTGCTGCCCATGAGTTGCCAGGCTGGTTACCTGCAGATTAAGTACAAAGCGTTGAATTTGTTGATAGTAGTGTGCAATATCCTTCTGAGAGCTCTTTGAGAGATTTTGAATCGTGCAGGGAGAGTGCGGCGAAAGGGTGAAGTTGCTGGAGTGGCATGCGCAAGCCTCTAAAACCCGACAGAATTAGGACACAGGTTGATGAACAGCTAATGTTGAGAAAAAGTCACGCCATCTTTGACAGCTACGTTTATCCAGGTAGCATCGAATATGACGCTGCGTCCGTCGGCAGGCTCGGAGGTCTTCTAAGCTCTTTGTGCGCAAAACTTTCCGTTCAGCTCGCCTGCGAATAGCACACAGTATTTCAAACTCCTCATCATTTGACGAAAATCTGTCGTTTTTAGTTGAAACAAGTGTACATTCCTTTAGGCAATGAGTCATGGTGGCAAGTAATTCATCATTTTGTAGCAGCAGTGATTCGCTTTCTTGCTGCGTCTTTGTACGCTTCCCAGTCTGTGGATCTCATGACGGTTCTCCTTGATGTAATATTTGCACCAGCAGTTCATATCAACATTGGGTAGTGATCACTCCACGCGCTTCCAAGTTGAAAGAAAAATGATGGAAGATCCACGAGCTGAATTATGATGAGATTGGGCGAAGCTCCTGGAAGTATTATTGTGAAATGTTCTTCCGTTAATTCGCCTGGCGATATGCGCGCTTCCTCACCGCTTCCCATTGTCGAACGTTTTCAAGATCTGCTTCGCGTCGTTGACGTGGTGCTTCGGCCTCTCATTCCCGTATGGAAGGATCCTGCCGACGCAGACGTGCCGCTGCAGCTTCTTGTTCACGTACGGCGGGATCTAGCCGACGCTGCCTTGCTGATGTGGCTTCTTGTTCCCGTACAGCAGAACCTTTGCAGCGACGTCGCGCAGCTTCCCGGCGCGCTACCGCCTCGCGTGCTCTCACTTCAGGGTCCTGTCTCCGAGCGCGCGCCGCCTCTGCCCTGCGCGCCCGCCATTCGGCATCCTCATCCATACGAGCACACACCGACGGCAACGAGCATCGGCAAATACAAACCTCTATCAATATGGTTTCGATTATAAAACCATTGCTTTAGAAAACACCTGGCGTCTTTCGTTAAGCAGCTGGCGTCTTCTTCTTGTTTTGCTTTAGAAACATCTGGCGTCTCTTCGATTTGCTTTTAGAAAACATCTGGCGTCTTTCATTCGTTTATTTCATCAATCAATAGCGTTTTGAACAAAAAATTTTTATTGTTTATTCACGCACAGGAGAAATCTCACTATGCACTACCTTGGAGGTAAACAAAGGCTGCTACTGGGAATGAGAGACAGCAGAGGTCGGCTTTTAACACTTCTACTTCTACTAACGTTTCCTACTGGAACATGGCAATGGCTGCTAATGGGGAATGAGAGACAGAAGAATTCGGCTTTTAGTTAACGCGCACACTGCGAATTTTTTTATTGTTCAACAACGCACAGGAGAAATCTCCCACCGGCACCACCTTGGAGGTCAAAGCGTTAAACTGGTTACACACTACGACTACGACTACGACAACGAAGGACGAACGGGTGCCGCTATAAGGAGCTTCGCCCCTAAAAAAACGCAGGCTACGGTAGTACACGTCGCATTCACTATGCGCTAATTTTTTAGCACCATATTTAAAGCTCGAACGTTTGCACAGCAGTGGTTCCTTTAGAAAATACCGATAAATAATCTATAAGGAGCTTAAGACAGACAGACAGACAAAGAACTTTATTCAGGTCCTGAGGAACTGCGTTGTAACGGCCCCGTTTAGGGGGAATCCGTAGCAGTCGCGGGCCGCTCCCACGTAGGGACCGGAAGACCGTGGCCCTCCGCCCCCTCGCAGGCCCTCTGGACAGCCCGAAGTTGAACCGAGAGGTCGCCGCTGTTAAGGGCCTCCTCCCAGTCCTCTTCTTTGATGAACTCTGCGTCACGTAACGCAGGACATTGCCAGAGCATATGAGGTAATGAGCAATACGCCTCTCCGCAGTCCGGACAATGCGGCTCGATGTTGGGCGAAAAATGACTGAACCTGCCTCGCGAAGGGAAAGACCCCGTTTGGAGCATCCTGTAGGCCGATGATTGCGGTCGCGTAAGTTTAGGATGAGGAAGTGGAAAAGCCCTCCGAGATAGATGATAATGAGTCATGATCTCGTGGAAAGTGAAGCTTAAGACAAGTCAGTGGAAAGGAAAATATAATTAGTTCATTTTTTACTGAGGCTAATAAGTGCACATGAGTAAGCTTTCATTTTAGTACTTGTTAAACTGCATACATAAAATATATTGTGTCTTATAGAGACTACCACTCCTATCGGCACTATTCAAGAGCGCCGGCTACCGTCAAATTTAATGAAAATCTAAACGTTTTGTTTATTTTCAAAGAATAATGTCTGGTGCTCTTTAGTATATAAGAAAAAAAAGACCTCATTTCATACGTTGGAATAAGTATGGTGCTCTTACACATTTTCTCTCCTTGCAATTCACAAAAGCTTTTGTGTCTACTATAGGTGTGCTATGAGGTCATGGTTAAAAAACAATTAAGCATTTTTAGAGATTTCTGCCGAAGCACTAATAGAATTTAGCATTGGCCTGCAGCTCAATAAATTTAATACGTGAGACACTGCTCACCAGAAATGTACGTCGTGGTCTAGAGACATCCTAATATCTCAGTGGCATGCTATACCATGTGAAGTCGTTTATTTCAGACTGGAGCTCTCGAAAGCCAGTGGTTCCGCAAAACTGGAAAGCTTGTCTCACTCAGTGCTCAAAATATTGTGGACTGTGGGGCCATGTTTCACAACAGGAACTGTGATGGTGGTTTTATGGATTCCACATATGGTTACATCAAAGTCAACGGTGGTATTGACAGTGAAGAAAGCTACCCATACGTGGGAACAGTAAGCCATTTTTGTCATCTTTCTTAGTGCTTTTCGCCTTTTCTAGGTGAAAAAAAATTGCATGCAATAGCTGTTATTAACTCGGAGTTAATATATTGTGTGCAAAATCAGGCGGTGACATGTATTCTGCAGTTATCTGTAGCGACTAACAGCGAATTGACGTAGGCCCCATATTCTCAGTAGTCAGAGCTGCACGAAGTCCGGCGAGAGTGGAATCAGTAAATTCACGGAAGAACCTAATTGTGGTCCTAAATCAGGCGTAAAAAATTATTGCTAAATAAAATACAAATGAGCAGGAAAACTGCGTGTCGCCTGTTGGGAGCCAAACACAGCTCCTGTGTGTTTTATGGAATTCTTATTAAGTTGAGAGGCTTAGTCGTTTCTTAAAACGCGAAATAAGGTTGTCTGCATCCCGCGTAGGCGCCATCTTAAGCCCGTTGGCATAGGGGACAAGAGATGCAAAAATTACGCAAATATATCACCTTGTGATGTCAGAGTAACATCACAAACCACCGATGTGTATATTTTATTTATTTATTTATTTATTTTTACATACTGCAGCCTCAACGAGACTGTTGCAGAAGTGAAAAACAAGACAAAAACAAGACCAAATCATCATTGCTGAAGAGGCTTCCGAAACTTCTTCAAGTCGTAGAAACGAACACTTCTGGGCAGCCTATTCCAGGTCTCTATAGTTCAAGGGAAAAAGCTGCATTTGAACAAATCAGTGTGGGCTAAAAAAGTTGCAATCTTAAGGGCTTGGTTACTCCGCATAGACAAATATTCGTAACTTTCCAGATATGATTCTATATTGGCAAAACGAGAAGAATTGATTAGGTTGTGCAGAAGATTTAGGCGTTCAACATGATGACGCTTCGTAAGTGTCGTGAACCTAGACGGGAAAGGCAATCGTTGGAGAAAAATGCCTGTCATACTTGTTGCATAGAAAGCGCGCAGCTCTTTTTTGAACGGATTCTAGTTCAAAATAACGTCTTAGCGAAGCCACGTCACGTGATGACGCCGTCATATTGCATCGTAACTTAATCAAAGGTGGTCCGATCATGGAGGCAATGCAATGTCACCTGATGTACCTCTATTCTTGGCGGAATTGCAAGACCACTTTAAGTAAAGAAAGCTTTCGAAGGGTGGCGAAAGCGAAGCATCAGTACATCAGCTGAGAAGCAAAACAAGATCGTTTTCATCTTCAGATCGTTTTGTGTTAATGCATACGGCATCCTGCAAAATTTATTCCTGCGAGACAAAAAGACCGCAAGATTTCCAATGTCTCTAAAAGAGATATTTTTTGTTTAGTGCTTCTGAGAATCTCATTACCAGTTTATACGAAGTTACTAAATTGTAAAACACTACATACTTGTGCGTCTACGCTTGCATAAAAGTTATGCGCCTAATGTTTATTTTGAAATGTCTATTTTTTTCTTCATGTGAGTGGTGCCATTAAAAAAGTGCCGCTAAATGTTGACTCAGCCCTGCCTACAAAACGTAGACATGTAATGTGTCGAGGTTTGCCATTGTTTTCTGTTTACAGTTTGTGTATCAAATGGGTCAAAAAACTGTCTGTTACCTATAATTTGACGAAACTGCTTGTGTCTTCAATTTCAATTTTCAATTTTCAAAATTTGTTTTATTGTTTTCTTGTACAATACACAAGAAACAAAAGGATGTTGGGGCTAAAGGCATATAGCCTGGTAGAGGACCCAACAGCCTTGAACTGTGTAAAACTTGGACCTATTTACCAATATGACATTATTCTATGAAACTTTTGAGTAAGCGTAAGACAGCGGTTTGTGATGTCATACATGTGTTCTTTTTTCTTCAATTGAGTATTTTAAGGAGTACAAAAGATTTCTATGCATACTCCCCTGATGGACGATGTAGGTGCTGGCAAGGTGAATGGACATGTACAGATAATGACACACTTGCGATATAAAGCGCGTTCCAACCTCACGTAAGATATATAATTTCGGCACAAAATTCGTAGTTAAATTGGTGTAAAGTACTACAAAAGTGCTCTATTATGTCAGAAAGTCCAGGTGCGTGATTTTTGAAAAAAACTTAGGTTTACTGCCACTAGTCTTTTCATCTTTGCTCTGCTTCGAACAATTTTCTGTATTGAAATTGCCAAATGAATATAAGAAAATTATATTCTCTTTTCATTTCCACGAAGAATTCCGACTGTGCATTTGACCCAAGTGGGGTAGCTGCCACAGTGTCCAGCTTCGTGAACATCAATTCCGCATCAGAGTCAACGCTAATGACCAAAGTGGCTCTCGTGGGTCCGGTGTGTGCTTTTGTCGACAACAGCCAGTCTACGTTCACCTTCTACTCCGAAGGTAAATTTTTACTTCACGTGTATAGGCAGTGGAGTACTTTGTCTCGCATGAGCACTCTGCATCTTTCTTACACCTCTGCAATCTTTTATTGAATGCTCGATCTCCGTCAAGTCTGCACAGTCTTACCTTGTGACTCCGCATATAGCTCCTTATGCGTGACTTTGAAATACAACGCCCGTGATCACTATGTTTGAGAATAGTGAACAAGGAAGAAAATAGACCAGTGGAAGGGAGGGAAGTAGTTCAGAACAAACTCCGGATGGCCAAACTACACAGATTGGTTGAGAATGGAAAATAAGAAAAGGAGGGTAGAGGGAGGTGAGTACTATGTAAAACAGCAAGAGCTGAAAATCTGAGCATTTCTGAAATCATGAAACTATGTACCAACAATCGTCGGACTGTTTCGCATTCACGTAATTCTAAAAGGGTTTCATAATCGGAAAAAATACGATGCGTTTTATTCTGCGTTTGATGAATGGAGCGAATAATACATAACCTAGGCTGATATGAGGTAGCAGTTTGTGCACTAAAACTTTGCGCACTGTCATGTAAAGCACACTCTCCAACTCTTCTTTACCCGGGTGTCCATTATTAATATTTTCAGCATCAAGGCGGGAGCGAATGCCACAGCTGATATTAGCCACGCCATCCTACACAAACGCGTCTCCACGCATGCGCAGCACGTTAGCATAAACCCTGACACGCACACCACATGGTGGGATCACTACTTAGTCGAAGACGCCCACTGACTATGCGACGCACAAGACAGAAAAAAAAAATCACAGCACATCCACGGAGCGAATGATGATGAGTGAGACGAGGCGTCCGTCAGCCCATCCATGCTTCCATTCGTCCGTTCGTTCTTGCTTCCGTCCTCGCGACCATCGGTGCGTCCATCCATGCATCCATCTGTCCGTACGTCCGCGCGTCTGTCAATCTGTCTGTCCGCCTTCTCGTCTGTCTGTTCGTCTGTCCGTGCGTCCATCTAGAGTACACTCCAAGTACCGCCATCTTGTATCTCGCATCCTTTGTGGCACATACCCGCTCCACGCGTCCATCCATCCATCCGTCCGTCTGCTAGTCTGTCGGTCTGTCCGTCCATGCGTCCGTCCGTGCGTGCATCTAGTGAACACTCCAAGTACCACCCTCTCCCATCTTGCATCCCGGTGGCTACGTAGGACAACGACGGAGGATGGACAGACCCACATCATACGGAGCTTCGTCCCTAAAAGGTCACACCGAAACAGAACTGCGCCCGTTGGTGAAGGTATACGTGACCCCAATACACGCTGCGGCACGTGCTCCCATGTTCACGGTAAAGGTGATCCGAACTGTAGCATAAATATTAGAGAAGCGTTAAAATTCGCATAGTGCAAACAGTGGTGATAGAGAGGAAGATTGGAAGAAAATTGCCTTGGGTGATACAGGCGAGAGCGTGTGCATGTACGACCATCACGTGAACGCACCTGCGCACATCGTCGAGGTACATGAGTCTTGACTTCAGCCGACCACGCCTTCTGCTTTGCCGTATTGTAGCCGAAACTTTTAGCCAAGTGTCCGCTGTGCTACTAAAAGTACAGATGATGTCGGACAAACCTTCCCGCGTTTCCGTTGATCTCATGTTCGGCGAAACGAGTAGCTTATACCGGTTACAACGACGAAATAGCCTCCCATAAGCCAACCAAAGGTAGGGTGAAAGAGTGTATGACGGAAGGAATCTTTATTTTGTGTGCTCCTTCATAACGCTTCATCAACTGATAAACCAAGATCTAAACAATGGGCTGTTTTCTCGAAGGCCCGATCAAGTTTTAATATTGTTCATATGTGAGGTTTAACGTCCCAAATCCACCATTTGATCAGGAGAGACGCCGTAGTGACGGGCTCTGGAAATTTCTACCACTCGGGGTTCTTTAACGTGTACCCAAATCTCAGCGCACGGGCATACAGCATTTTCGCCTCCATCCAAAATACAGCCGCCGCAGCAGGGATTCGATACCGGGACCTGCGGATCAGCAGCCGAGTACTTCAGCCACTAGACCACCGCGGCGGGGCAATGAGTTTTAATATTGCACCAATTCAAGTTTAAGGCACCTGTATACAAAGACACGATTTTTAAAACAATTTTTAAAGCATGAAATGCGTTTTTTACGAATCTACTCAATACGAATGGAGCAGGCCCTCGAATAGGATGTTGCGTGCCAGCTGTGTGATATTTTTGTTAGTATCTGCATAAGAAGTTTTCTTCAAAAATGCACAAGCCATATAATTTTGCCTTGTACCCTGACAGACATAGTTCGACCAAGTGATTTATGTATTACTTCAACGTGCCGTGATTCTTGCCTCCTTGTTTATTTTGTAAAATCGCCATGTTTTTGTATATAAAACTGCACTTATGCTTCTTTTACATAATGCCTTTCAAGGTGTCTTTATCTTTTGGTGTAAATAAATATGAATAAGATGAAGCTGTGAAGGGATGTGGCTTTGCCGAAGTAAACTTCCATACGCCAAAGAAAAAGCTTTTAAAGGGCCAGACAACAGGCTTCCCGACTGTTTTTTACACCACCCAAACAACCTCGAGCATTTATCATACGACTGACTAACCTCCTTCCACGTGTAGTGATGTCAACTCCGCGATCGGCGACGTTGACTACTTCAGTACTGTTTTTTGAGTTCAGGTTTAGACCAATCGACGAGCTGCGTGTTGCGTCACGTCGCCGATCGCGGGGGTGACGTCACTGCGCGTAGAAGGAGGTTGGTCAGTCGTATGAAAAATGCTCGAGGTTGTTTGGGGGGAGAGAGAGATAAAGATGCAAGGAAAGGCAGGGAGGTTAACCAGACGCACATCCGGTTTGCTACCCTGCACTGGGGAAGGGATAAAGGGGAGAAAAGAGGTTGCAGAGGTTGTTTGGGTGGTGTAAGAAACAGTCGGGAAGCCTGTTGTCTGTCCCTTCAAAATCGTATGACACAAAACACCTGTTTAGAGCTTCATGGTTGCAGTGCGTAAACCTATTGTGGAACCCTCTTTTCAATAATTACGTGGACTCTTTTAACTTCAGCTTAGAAGTAATTCACTCATGAGAAGAGCGATAGGATTAGTACTCGCCATGGAAATTTGGCGAGAAACATTTAAATAGAATGCTTCTCTGAGTATCAAACACAACGAAAATGGTTGAAGAGTTGAGGAGCACGCTTCAAATATGGCACAATCATTGCCGGTTGTTATAACTAGCTAAGGAGTGAAACCGATGAGTAAAATAGTTACCTGCGTTATTCATTGTCTTCTCAGGAGTGTATCACGATTTTGGATGTCTCAAAGACAGTATGCGCCAAGCTGTGCTGATTGTTGGTTACGGAGCCACTAAAGATGGCCAGAAATACTGGATTGTGCGGAATTCGTAAGTTTTCGCACAACATCATTGCTGCATCAATGAGTTCAATAGGCTATAGCACAGCCACTTCTGTTTTTTGTTATTTGTTTTTCACTTGCCTAATTTTTTTTCACCACCTTTCTCACCATTTCACCATTTTCACCATTCTCCTTTCCCTTAGTGCAGGGTAGCAAAATGGATGCTAAATTTTCATTTACATCCCTGCTTTTCCATCAATTTAATACCTGAATATCGCCCACAGCCGCGTACTCAATAACTATTTTCAACTGAGAATCCACAGTTGCCGTATTAAAGACTACCGCCCTCATCACAGTTGTCTGGGATGGTCTTAGCGAAAAAAGTAATTCCGTCCACCCTGGAGCATCCACGTCGCACTCCTAATTACACATTTTCCAACTTCAATCATTCTTCGATGACGAAATCCACACTGCGTAGATAACATTTCCAACCAACGATGCACTTCGCACAGCCAGGCGCCGCAGAATGTGCATACTACATACATACTCTGTCGAAATTTACGCTCAAGCATTTCGGTAAACAGTCAAAGAGCAGAAACGGCTTCTTTGTCTCACAGGCTTTTTAGCTTTTGCGAGAATTGGCTTTATTCTAACAAGTGACTCGGTGACTCCTTTATTATTATTATTCTTAATGTTATTATTATTATTATTATTATTATTATTATTAATTTGCTTGTGCTATCCTTTCGTAGTTCCTTTTATCACGTATTTTACTTTTTCGGTTTGCAAAACCTGTCTAGTTCATTGAAAAAAAAAAGTGAGAGTATCAATGTAGTTGACACGGTCCCATTTCTGATGGCATCGCACTAATTTTAAGTATACTTCTCTGCCTGCGTTTGTTTCAGATGGGGCACCAATTGGGGCCAAGATGGCTACATCCTCATCAGAAGAGATTCACACAATGAATGCGGAATCGCCAGCTTCATTACGTATCCCGTCATTTAACGCATCATAACTTGCTATACAGAATTTAAAGTGAATGGCAAATTTTGGCAACATATCTTGAAATTTACATTACAGAAAATGCAAAATAAATCTCTGTGTGCCGTTTACACTTTTCACCGCACCATTGCATAAAATGTTATTTTTATAAGGCCCTGCTACTAAGTCGTTTTTTTCCTAATACTGGCAAAGTCAAAAAATTGCTGCCAAAAAAATAAAGTCATATAAATACGTTTAAAAACAAGTTAACGTAAATGTCAAGAAAGTAACTATTTACTACCTTACAATGGAAGACAGAAAAAGCGACAAATTTGCAGTCAAACGCTGCATAAAATCCGTGGGCTGAAGCTTCTACGAAAAAGGTTCTCTTTGAATATCTTACTAGAAGCACATGAAGATATTGATTTGTGTAGTGAAGAAGTAACAATAAGAGAAGACATTTATCATAGAGCCTTCAGACATCGCATGTGATAATCAAGCGTGATAGATGTATTCGCTTAGTGTAAACAGCTGCAAACTGGCCGCCCTTGTAAAAACCAATTTTTTATCTTTTTGGTGCGGTAGCACCATAACGCAGCTTTACTGGGGCTCTATAGTTACTTTGACAAAAGATGCGAATATGCTGATTTACTCAGAGTTTGGAGCATCTTTAAATGATTAATCAGACATTCACGCTCCTACGACTGCTAAGTACAGCTATATCTTAGAGGATAATAGTGGAATTCTTTCGTGTGCACTTTTGGTCACAAGACTGTGCTAGCGAAATGACTGATAAAAAAATGTCCTCTGGCCCAGCGTGTCCCTTCGTATTCGCAGCAGAAAGCACGTCGGACTTTTCCAAGAATGCTTTTGAGGCATATCTTGGTTTCTTGATAACATTCTATGTAGGCCTTTGTCTGATTTTGACGTCAGAACGACTCGCTCCATACCCAGAAGTGATAATATCGAACAAGCGACCATTGTTGACGCCGTTTTCTCATCGTTATCAGACTTAGGTAAGTGGGCTCTTGAGCTATTCTTTCTATTCTTCGCATTTTCTGGTCGTATTGATCCCCAGCATGCTGCTACTACTCGTGAGACCAACAAAGTTTCGTAGCAGCCAAAGTTTTCCAAAACAACAATCTCATTTCGCAAGTACGCCTCATAGCTTAGTAACTAGTGGGGCTGAAGAAGGAGCTGTGTTGATCTCGAGTTCGTAGTTATGATGTCGGTCTTGGCAGCCGTATTTTAGAGTGACCAATATTCAAGAAAACTAGGGAAGTCATATTTACATGCGCAATAAAAAAAGCAATGGGCAAAATATTCAACTTCTTACGGAGCTCCTCCTATACCGTGCCTCTTAATAGGATCAATTGATGGGGGTCGGTCAATATTTTTAATGTAGTGAGTGTTCATTCAGTTCCTCATGTTACATGGGAAGCACCTTACCACAGCAAGAGCTACGGCTGTCTTAGCGACTTGCACATGGAGTGGTGTGACTCACGTCGACCCTGAACCAATAGCATTATCATCGACACATGTTCTACATCGTGTTATCAATAAATGTTGAACTTTTCTCCCATCAATCGTGTTTTTGAGGCATCTATTCAAAAAACCCTTTTCTAGAAAATTTTCAACTTCATCGGATCAACTTTGTAGCACGTAGCAAAGAGCCTTGTGTTGCCCAGCCTACCCTTGTTTCTTGTGATTCCAGGTGATGAAAGGCCGCTTGCTTTTTACGCTGCTAACTAGTGTATTTTGGTTGGTTGAAACACGTGGCTCAGCTGGGGTCAACGTGACAAGCCTTGATGCGGAGTGGAGTGCCTTCAAGCTGAAATACGGTGAGTCACAGCTTTACGCCATCGATAATATCTCGCTTAGCCGAATTCCCTCGGTATCTTCCAAAGGTTAGCAATGTAGAAGATGATACATGTAAACGAGAAGGCAGGGAGGCTAACCGCAATTGAAACATCTGGTTGTCTACTCAAAACTAGGGGACGGGGTAGCGGAAGGAATCGTCAATAAAACAGCGCGGAAGAATCGCTGGCGTTAAAAATATAATAAAGGGGAGCTTCAGAGAGTGTCACTTTCGTCATCGCCCCGTAAAAATAAATAATAGAATAAACATTATTAGACCTAGGGCGTGACGAATTTTCGGGGCTGTACATGTGTTGTACTTATATTAAAACTGCAACTTATATTTTACAATAATACCTCTTTCCTAAGAATCGCGTGGAAGACATAAAGGTTCAGGTCGGGAAAATAAAGGGGGAAATTACGTCAAGCGCGCTAAAGGTCTAAATAACTAAATGCAAAAACAACACCAGACAAAGCACGACCAACACAAGTGGAAACCGAAGACCCATATTTTTGCTTGCGCATTTTCATTGTTACGAGTCGGAAAGCGGAATGTTTTTAACCACGCTCCTATCTTAGATAACAGCACTCATATATAAGATAGATAGGAGCGTGGTCGTCGTTTGCTGCAGTATACCTCACGTAATGGCGACGAAAACAACGAATACCACGGGTAGCAATTGAGAGCACACTCGCGCCAAGGGACAGCCATCTTCTTCTTGTGATGATGGAAAGTGTGGAGCACTATAGGTACACTAGCTGTGGTATGCTATCGTATGCTGCCGTCGGTTGGCGTTAAGCAGGAAAAACCAAGTACGAAAATAAATGGAAGCTTTAGTGAGAAGTATCGAGAGAATGAACGCGGAAAAATAAAAAAACATTAAAATTAGAAAACGCGACATGGAGACACAAATACATACAAAGAGAGCAAGAAGTAAATAGAAAGAAAGATAAAAAAGCAAAACGCAGATCTAAGTATAAAAATGATGAGAGCAGAAAAGAAAACGCAGATAAAGCAGAAATGTTGTGCACTACCTTCAAACTTTGCACTCACACTGCAAATTTTCACATTGTTTTTCTTCTGCCTGCAGGTATCGCATCTCAGTGTAAGATTCTTTAATAAGCAATATATTTCAGCACCACCGCAATTATTGTCCCGTGTGCCTTCCACCACCTACAGTCTCATAGGAATGTAACTGAAAGAAAGCCCCAAGTCCCTGTTTTTGCATTTATTCAGGTACGGTGCAACGTATTAAGTACAGTCAGACGCAGTGTGACACATAAACATGCCGTCGATGCACACATAAACAGTCGCATGATTTTCTTCGGCAATAAAATTCCAACTTGCACAGTATATTCGGCTTCTGCACTATGTAGACCACACTCTATATACGCATTCTTTGTTTATTTCGTGGAGGCTTGGGAGGCATGACTAATAGTGCATTATTTTGGTTTTTTTTGTATATAAGACAAGTATTACTCGTCGCCAATAGAAGATGGGGCAAGGAAGCTGGCATACCTTCGAAACCGCCTAAAAATTGCAGAACACAACAACAGATACGCAAGAGGAGAAGTCGCCTATACACGCAAAATAAACAAGTTCGCCGATATGGTTAGTAAATTATATTTTGTGATATTTATGCCTGAACTATTTTCTCCTGTTAAACAATCACAATGCGTATCTTTTTTGTGTTTTTGTCAACGTGAATGCATAATAAGCATAAATACTGAGCCAAAAATCGATATATTGCAATATTTGGGTGGCCACGTTGTTCGTTATGTCATGTTTTCTGGGCCCCCAACGCTTAATAAATCTTTGTATACTGGCACCGAGAAAATGTCAATATCAGCTCAAAAAATACAACGTGGCTGATCTCCCTATCTAGGAATTGGAATAACGCGAAAGCGAATTTTCCCTTCACTTGGGTAGTTGATCATTTATTGTGCGTTGTTTCAGCAACAGCAACAAATAGTCAAGTCACGGGAAGAACGGCAAGCAGCTCGAAACTTGCAGCGCGCACCTCAAGCAGAAAGCACGCACAAAATTAGCATATATTGATGACGAGCGCAGACTAACATCTGTTATAGCCGGACACCTAAAGCGCGCAGTTTAAACAGTGAGAAAAATGCACGAAACGATCGCACATGTATACACAGGACAAGCGTCAAAAGCTGTCAAATTTCTTCGTCGTGTGTCAGCAGGGCTCCCCTTTCGCAAACGCGGCCAAGGTTGTGAGCGAATTCACCTTCGTCTCCTCCCCCATTATGAGTCCGATAAACGCGTGCGCAGGAGAAACAGCGCTCTCTGGAGGCGGCGCTTCCTGGAGGTTACGAGCTTTACCCCCGTATTCACAAACGCTCCTTTACTCAAGGTCTCTCCTCGACATGAAACCGTCAATGGTAGCGCCGTCCTTTGACAGATCAAGTCACTGCATATCGGCATTATTTTTCAGCGATTCATGACTAGCGCAGCGTCAATTTCAGTCGAGGATCGGCGCAGTATTCAACTCAGTCAAGTGAAGGATGGAATTCGTATCGAGAAGCGTTTCTGAATACGGGGGTTAGAGTGCGCCCAACGCGAGAGTGTCGCGCCATCTCGCCACTGATAACAAAAACGCGCTCAAGTTTCGAAGCTCTGAGGACGGCAAAAACGGTGTATGGAGTGTATAAATGGCTTACTGTTAACATGCATGACGGCGTACGCTTCGCGGCATAGTAGTTAGCGCAGCGCGCCACCAATTAAGGATTTGCTGGTTTGGCGCCGCGTGAGATAATCTTTCCTTCTTGTATCTTTTTTCTTAGCGATCAGCTGGCATATATTTTACAACGTCATATCCGTGACGTAAATATGTCAGCGGAGCCATGGTGAACTCAGGCATAAAATACTCTTGTGTTATTATACACCTAAGTGGCCGTACATTATCAGCAAAATGAGTGACGTATATTGCAAATCAACCAATTGCTGAGAAGTAATTCCGGTGAACAACGCGGGCCTTCAATTTTTATGCACTAGGATATTTACCAAACAATCTCATATTTTGTTACTTCACAGTCGTTAAACAAGAGTGAGAAAGAAAGCTGTGTAACGGCGTTTTAAGGTCAAAGTACTAAAGCCGAGATGTTGGCTTTGTTCGTGGCTTTGTACACTTTATGAATCATTACACTTTTCCGCAACAGGTTAGAGTTTTAAACGATGTCTGTGACTAAACATCATTCTATAAGCAGTTTATTTTTATTTGACTAGGATGATACTTTTTTTTTGTTTTTGTGGTAAGGGAGCTTTCATATATTTTTTTACGGCACTGTTTTTGTTACCTTCACAATGATCAGTTTTTCTAGGTTTATAGAACTTGCAGTAAAACCTTTATGGCTCATAAATTTCAAATTTTTGTTCTTTCTGTGGAACTGCATACTGATCGATATAACTTTTAATTCTACAGCTACAAGAGGAAGTCGAACGTATAACTACAGCTGGAAGACACATTGTTTCATCACAGAGCAATTGCCGCAGATGGAAAAACACTCCACTACGAACGCTCAACACGTCAGTTTTGCCAGACAGCATCGACTGGAGAAAGAAAGGAGCAGTGACTCCTGTGAAGACGCAGGGGCCGTGCCCAGCTACGTGGGCCTTCAGCGCGGCATGTTTTACTTGATTTCCTTCAACTATTTCTGGCAGAAGAGTAGGAATGACTTTTCAGCTCTGCACCTGCATCTCTTCGTTAGCAAAAATCGAAGTGTTTGCATCTTAAGTATAATGCCATTTCGTTGCCAGGAAAATAAGTCATTTTTATACACTTGAGCCGAGCTTGTTTAGGCGCACTCTCAACGTAATTCGGTCTCTAAAACTGTGCAAGGAGTTATCGCTTGCCTAGAGTTATAAATTCTTGTCTAATATCCAATTTACGGTAATCCATATCGTAACTGTATGTAGAGCGAAAATTTTTCATGGCACGAACGAACGCACGAAGACAAGCGGCAACATTGCGCCCTTTCATCGACACTCCTTCTCTTGTATTTTGTGATTTCTTTTGTTTAACTAACAAGCCCAACTTAACACCCTTGCATAGAGATATCGTAATGCTGCTTTCGAGTATTCGTACGTAAATTTGTCACATGATGAGGTTGTACAACTTCCTTACATGTGGCATACACCCCTCCAGCTAGCATCATTTTACATGCTAAGTGAAAATTCAATCACGTATTTAGCTGCTAAGAACGAAATTGCTTTATTATACGCTTGTGCTTTTATTCACTGGTATACATAACTATGCGATTTCTCTTTGCTTCTCAGCGCAATCATTTTATATTTTTGTGCACCATTTTGTTGGCATATACTATTTAAGCATGCTTCCGTGATCACGGGCGTATAATACGATCACCGTCGCAAGTTGCTTGAAATTTATGCATCTAGTTCTGCGTATTTACAACGTCGTAAGAAGGGAACCATGTGTGTGCATGTACTCTGTGTAGTACTGTAAAGCCATATAATTGCTTCTTTTTTGGATTTTTTGCAACGTGAGTTGTCTTATAAGCAACTTCTCAAACCAGATGAAACTTTTCAACTGAACCTTTTCAAATGAGGAGATTATATATAAATAACAAGGCTCTTCTCTTTCTGGATGCCTAAACGCCTTGATAAAGCTTCATTCTCTTGTGCTCGGCATCTTGGTGTTTTTGTTGAATTATTCAGACAACCATTCTGTTGAACTACAAGTGCTCTAAGACGTCCTTTTTTATTGTTCTCTCCGCAGTGCACAGCTACATAAAAACTGAGATCCCAACTGAACTTTCTTTGAGCTTGTCTTGCATTTTTAAGGCTCGTTCGCTTTGCAAATACTTTAGTCCTCCTATGCAATGGCATAAGTATTGATACACGCACATGAATGTTAAATCTGTCGCCATTTTACGAACATATTGTGGTTTTTTTCTTCTCCTTATAACCTCTTTGTGAATCTGATACGATTAGACCGGAGCACTGGAAAGTCAACATTTCATACGGACGGGCCAACTCGTGGAGCTAAGTGAGCAGAACCTCATCGACTGCTCCCAAGATTTTGGCAACTTGGGATGTGAAGGGGGCCGAGCAGATCAAGCTTTTGAATACATCATCCAAAACAAGGGCGTCGACCTTGAAGAGCTGTACCCGTATGCTTTCAAGGTTAGCACCACTTCTCAATTATGATCATCCGCACTGAAATATTACTCACGTATGCTGAGATAGTTCCCATCTATCTTATGTGAAGAACATATTATACGTAGGCACGTTCATGAAGCAAACAGCCGCATCGACATTTTCTTAAACGAGTACTGACACGAATTTCAAAATTTTCGAGATTGTTTTTGTAATTACAAACACGGGATTTGAGAAGCAAGGAGGAAAAACAGCTCGAGAGAAGCCAGGGAGGTTAACGAGGCACATGAATTGTAAAAACATGTATACATAACGCTTTAACGAAATCTTGCTTTTACTGTGTGCAACGAAGTTTCGACAAGCAGATTCTCCGTCTAGAAGCAACGGGCTATCCCGGTTCGTTGCTAGTTTTTGTTTGTGAGAAGCTGCGCAAACAGTTAAAAGTAGGTAACGATTGGGAAGCTTTACAAGAAGCAATTCCCAAGAGGGTGGTGGTGATACCATATCTTCATAGTATTTCGCATAAATGCAAGAAAATAGGCCAAAGAGCAGTTTTGTCATTGGCTTTTTCCGCACCAAATAAATTGTCTCAGTTATCTGTCCGAACTAGTTCCATAGAAACATCGTGAGCAGCTGCAAGATTAAGCACCGAAAAAAGTTTGTTGAGTGTGCAACAGGGATTGTTTATGGCATACCCCTGTCTTGTGGACTTGAGTACGTAGGTTAGTCAGGTCGGTGTCTTGATATAAGCCTTCAGGAACATTGCCAGAAAGTAAGAAGTGCAGGATGGGACAGTTTTTGGCCGCTCATTGTTCTGAATTTGGGTGCCAGCCAGTGGTCGAAAAGACAAAGGTTCTCGCGTTCCACCCTAACGAAGGCACAAGATTTGTAATCGAAGCTGCAGCAATCGCTCGAGGCAGTTGCATCAGCAAATCATCGATAGCGTTAGCTAAAAAAAGAATTGGCGTTTTTAAATTGGGCACGTGATGGTCTCGGGTGAGCACCTGGTTTCTTGCAGTCTCTTTTGACTTTTGGTTTTGTGTTTTTGTTTCAGTTTTTTGGTTTCTGCTTAAGCAAGTGATCTTATTGTCTTTTTTGTAACATATATATGTGCGTCGTAGTAGTAATAAATTTTCTTGAAAGTCTGCGCTCGCCCTCGTCTCTTGTGTTACTTGTCGGAAGTTCTTGCACTGAGAAGTCCCATAATGCGTTACCAACTAGCCCAATCCCACGCTTTACTTCAGCACATGCACGGTTGGATACCTAACGCTGCGGGAATGGGAAAGGGAAGTATAAAGACGAGACAGATGAGAGAGAAGAAAATTACACAAGAAAATTGTCAATAAATGGACTGACGTGATTCAGAACCCTAAAGAGAGTACGGTGTACTTGGGAATGAATCGAACATATTTTTCATGCCATTACTTTGAAAAGAAGCTTTCGCTTTCTTTTTCAGTGAGGTCGGCTTTTTGCTGACATGTCAAAAAGTGTGGCGCCACTCGAAGACAGCAATTTGCGAAGTACTAGTGGCAGATCGGTGATCTACTTGTGGTGCACGTGAACAAGAGTGCGTGCATTGTCTTCAGTGGCCTCGGCCGTGATTTCTGTGATTTGGGCTGCTAGAAGTTTGAAGAGTTCGCGACCCTAGAGGAACTGTGTTGACTCATAGGGATAAAGTATATTGTGACGGGGCTAACTTGTTGATTCTCAGCGACGAAAACTTTGTAATCAAAGAAAATATTTTATACTTGCTGATTTATTCCGGTGTGTGGAGAGCGTTAAAACTGCATTTATAGGAAACAAAAAAAAATGCCCTTTGATATGTCTCAGAATCGTGTCAGTACTTCTTTTAACGTCTCGTACAGTAGCTTTTAAGTACACATGCCTTCGTTCAAACAGTAAATACAGTGACACGTTTCTTGTTTTTAGGCTGATTCACAGCCACGCCTGCTTACGCAGCCCCTGCTTAGAAAGTTGAGTAGTTCGTTATGACAGTCACTGACGTGTCGACAAGCTATGCAGGTGGCAGAGATTCAAACTGTATTAGGTTGTTTTATTTATTATTTAGAACGTAATTTTTTTCGCAAAGCTACCGTGAGAAAACCTGCAGCTCAATTTGAGAAAACGTTTTTTCACACGCATGGCAGACGTACACAGCAGTCAGTTAGTAAATTTGTTCAACTTCCGTGACCTATTTCCGGCGTGCCGTGCGTGCCCGTTGTTCCCATTCTTCTGGTTGTTTTCATCCTGTCTTCTTCCTGCCTTTTTTTTGCATCATCAATTTCTGGATGCATAGTACACAGAACCGGATGCATATCGAGCTATCCGCATATCGTTTCCCTGATCCTGCTCCTCTTCCGCCAAGCTACTTTATATGCTAGTAGAACAGTTGTAGAAAAACTAGCACAAAAATTTAGTAGGATGCTGGAAAGTTTAAATGTACTTATTGTAAAGTTTTAGATGTGGTATTTTCTGTGTAAACATTTTTACCACGCGTAATTCATGACACTTTCATATTTTTACGTCCTCCAAGAGCCATTCCTTCGCTCGTTCTTGGCGACTTAAAACACCTTTCTGTACCGCAAATCAGTGGTCGAGTAAATGATTCTATATCCAACATTCAATGTTCTCACTCGCTAGCAACACACGCTAGCGCCATCTGCGGTTTAAAGAACGATGCCTTACGAGTCGCAAATGACCTCCAAAATTGGTTCACACGGGAAACGGACTTCTCTGTATCGACATATTGAGCTCCGTCGCCTTTACAGTATCAGTTGAGTCTGTTGAATGCATATTGGTTGATCTGAATGTGTACGTCAACCTGCGGCTCTTATTATCACGAAAAATGAACGTAACAGGTGTCTTATCAGAAATAGTATGATATTCGTTCCGCTTTTACTATATGTGACTTTAAGACTACCGTTTTCTCATTTCCAGACCATGCCATGCGCATTCGACAAGGGTGCTGTCGGTGCGACCATGTCCAGTTTTCACACAGTCCCTCAAATGTCTGAAGAGCAACTGCAGATTGCTGTAGCCACTGTGGGACCTGTTGCAGTGGTCATCGATGCCGAGCACGATGATTTTTTCCAATATGACCAAGGTGAGATGTATTAGAGTGGTTAACATATACGCGAGTTGGCGCTGTTTCGATTTTGCCAAATTCCGGGCAGGAGTATCCCGAGTTGTACAGAGTGACGACACCACTTTCTGAATTTCAATACCTGATGAAAGCATGTACAATTTTTTCTCTTGATATCTATACTAATAAATAGTTCTGCTTCCTTTTAGTAGCCAAATATAAAAATAATTGGACAGAAAGAGAAAAAGATTATTCTTTTCATGTTAACCATGGCCACTTAGCTTCACAAATAGCAATTTGTTCATACTAGGTGGAGTGGTTTTAAGTTTCCGCCCAATTTCCATTTTTTATTTGTCTTTTTTAGGTATATATGACAATCCATTTTGTAGAGCCAGTGAAGTCAACTACGGCCTTTTAGTAGTTGGCTACGGCACCACCAACGGCATTGATTACTGGATATGCAAAAACAGGTGAGCTTTTTTATTTTTGTTTCTGACAAACCAAAAGCGTGCGCGTGTTCACCAACCGATTCTCCTTAAACTGCAGCATGGGACCTGACTGGGGCGAACGCGGTTACATAAGGATGGCGAGAAACAAGCAAAACCAGTGTGGCATCGCTACTTCGGCCACTTATCCGGAAATCTGAGTCACTTGGAGCACGTCTTCAAGCAAAACGTGCCTTGACACGTGCTCCTGACCTAGAAGATATATATATATATATATATATATATATATATATATATATTATGTAATCTATTATATCAACTCATGTGCTAACACATAGGTAAATAATTCTCTATAGTAAACTTCGTTGCGAACTATACTTCGTGTCTATCTTATATTAGGTGCCTTTATAGTGCAGTTTTACCTCTGTTAACACATTGGGAGAGCCTCTACAGAAGCAGATTAAGACAACACGTCCTCTTTCGGCCATGCCATGTTGCTTTGCACATCAGAATTACCTGTTTTGTACATCGCTATTCGCATGTAAGCTTCAACCTTATGCATCATTGATTACTTACCTTCCCTGTTCATTCTGAGGCAATGGAATGCTGCTGCAGAATACGAGTACAAACCCATGACATTGGTCGCATACATAAGCCCCTATGCAGGCAAAGCCTCCAGAGGGGTTAGCGAACAATCGTTGGTATAGCGTTTGCGTACTTTATTTCTTCTAAGTGTTCTATTTCCATGCGCTGTCCCTTTTCTTTGCATGTAAAGCGGGCTATCATTACCTCCTTGGCGATGGCATACAATATTAACCTATAGGATTGTTGAGAGCGTGTACGCATTTTTAAGTGCGAAGCCCTTCAAGGGGCCGTGCTGGTGGTGTAGGTACTGTATACTGTAGTGGTCGCATGGCATAACACAAGCAAAACCTCACGTAACAAAACCATCTCTACCGCACGCTCACGCCAGAAAGAAGTCTCCTGCCTCCTGTTCCTCGAGCGCCTTGGTGGTGACATTACGCATAAAAATGGAAAAAAGGGGTCATTAAACGAGAAAAATAAAACAGAAAATGGAAGAAAAAATAAGAAGAAATAAAAATACAAGACATAAAGAACTGTAAATTACAAAATAGAGGAAACATAGCAAAAAAAAATAAACTGAAGAGAAAGAAATAATGCCAGCCAACTCCGCCCTGCCTCTAGGCTTAGCACCAGGAGTGCAAAGCTGCCCTAATATTTTTACCTGAAATTACTAAGACCACGAAATCTCGTGATTCATGTATTGTCAGTAATCGCCGCAAGGCCCATCATGCTCTCAAAGAAAAAAATAAGTAGTTTAACCGTTTCTCGCGAGTGGCTACGTATATGACTTCCTTCGAAGAGAGACATCAGTTCTCTTTATAGATCCTTATGTCCTCGTCGTAGGGTCTTCAGAACCGAAAGGGAGTTCACGTGTCTCTTTAAAATAGTACTGACACGACTTTTACAAAGAAATTGGTTAGTAGCTCTGAATAAAAGTACAGGGGTCAGGTTACCTGAAAAGAGATAATTGGAGATACTTTATACCACTATATTAAAACAACAGTGTCAGTTTCGTTATCAAAAGGGTGGCTTCGCAGTCACGTGTCACAGCAGTGTGACGTCACGGGAAGGTAGCAACTGGCGAGGTTCAAACGCCCACTCTGTCATCTGCTCGTGGTGATGGGGGCAATGATGATTGAATTGTCCGGTGACCGTGACAGTGATTCTCGAAGTTTAGTCGGTGTGCAAGATGCAGAGCTCGCCAACTCAGGAACTGCCTTGACTCGTTGAGAAATGTCCTTTGAAGTGGTGCTGCCTTGAAGATGCTCTGCGATGAAATTTTTAAACTTATAATACAATACTTCATACGTGTTGTCTAACTTCGGTGCGTAGAGAGGGTTGACACAGCATACCACGGCAACGAAAAATGTACTTTTCGCGATGTGTTCAAGTTATGTCAGAGCGAGAAATAAATAAAAGGAAGAGACAGGGAGGTTACCCTTGAATAACTGGTTTGTTACCCTGTACAGGGGTGGGTAAATGAGGGTCAAAAAGAGGATAGAGACAGAAAGATACAGAATAAAACAGGAAAAAATGGCAGCATATCCACGGAGTGAGTGATGGACAGTGGGGCGAAGCATCCATCAGTCCATTCGTTCTTGCTTCCGTCCATCCATGCGTGCGTCTGTGCGGCCGCCAGTGCGTCCATCCGCCCGTCCGTGCATGCGTCTGTTCGTGCGCCCGCATGTTCATCTGTGCGTTCGATCCTGCTTTCGTTTATGCATCCGCTCCTGCGTCCGTCCATGCGTCCCTCCGTCCATGCAGTCATCCGTGCGTCCGTCCATCCTTCTGTGTGTCTGCTCGTCCACCTATTCAACACTCCAAGTACCGCCATCTCGCATCTTTTCATCATATATTCCACATATAGAAGCACCGCCATCCAGTTGACATTCCAAGGACTGAACGAGAGGAGGCATACGCACATTTTTTTTTACGGCTTGTGCTTCATGTCTACTTCCCACCTTTAATCACCTCGAGTTCATGTTATATACTAGTTCACTGGCACTGTAGCCCAACGCTCGCTAAACCTTTTTAAAACCTAGGAGGTTACGCCCAGCGAGTATAACGTAGCAACACTTTCTTGTCTTCTGTGCGTTGTTGAACAATAAAAAATTCGCAGCGTGCGCATTAACTAAAAGCCGAATTCTCCTGTCTCTTATTGCCCCTTAGCAGCCATTGGCGTGTGCATTGAGCACTATCTTTTATTGTTCAACAACGCACAGAAGAAATATCTCACCGGCACCACCTTGGAGGTCAAAATGTTATACTTGTTACACACTACTACAACGGCTACGAGGGACGAACGGGTGCCGCTATAATAAGCTTCGCCCCTTATACACAATCACACACATGCAGGGCGTTCCGATCATAGTCGTGTGGAGAGGCCGGTTCAACGCAAGAAGCGCAGCAGCGCCTTTACAGCCTTCTGCGAGATAAAGTCCTGTCGGTAGCGCCGTATTCTTTCTTCCGAAAGCGTCTCGTTGTCCAGTTCGTTTAGTGCATTGCAGAGTGACTGTCTCTGCGAGCAGTATTGTGGGCATTCGTACAGAATATGGCAAGTTGTGTCATCACTGCCACAATGGTCACATGCAGCAGTATCGGCCATTTCTATGCGGAACGCGTACGCATTGGTAAATGCGACGCCCAACCATAACCTCCACAGCATAGTAGCGTCTCGTCGGCGATGTTCTGAATGATTCGAAGACTGAGAGTTGGATCTAAAGTACATCATCGTGCGTGGGTAAAATGTGATTCATTTCATTGCGGCGTGGTGCACTTGCGAGCAACCATGCGGAGTTTCCGTGCAGCGTCAGTTCGGAAGAGCGGAAGTTGATATTAGATTGCTTTCAGTATGGGCAGCCCGTAAATTGCCAATTATTTCACAGTGACTTGGAAGCCATTGGAAGGTTATTTCATGTCCTTTCTCAAATAAATGGTGAGTATTTTCTGCAATCTAGAACACCAGTTGTTCTCTCGAACCGCGCCGTAAAGGTGATAGAAGGGATTGCAGTGCCGCCTTAGAGTCACTGAAAATCGGCCTTTTTTGGGGCTGTTGATCACAAATGAATTGCAATGCGGCACGAAGAGATGTGAGCTCCACTCCTGTTGATGTCGTAAGGTGGGAGGTCTTGAATTTGCATGTTGTGGTGTTTATTGGTATAACAAAAGATGCCGTTCAACTGTTCTATAAAACGGAGCCATTGGTGTATACAGGTATGCAGTTTTTGTACGTCTCGTATAACAAGAGCAGAGCAAGCTGCTTAAGAGGAGGCGACGACATATCTGCTTTTTCTGGATGCTTGGTATTGTTAGCCTGATGGTGGCCTGAGTCAGGCTCAAAGAAGGAGTCAAAGGCCTGGCGGCGGGTGTGAATTATGTTGGCACAGAGTCGCGATACGTGGTTACCGTTTGGTAAAAGGACGAACGTGGCTTGTCTGCTGGTAAATGGGCTATAGTGCAGGGTGTCCGAGCAATATGCCTATATGTGTCCTGAGTGTCTCAACGTCAATATGTGTCGCGATGAAGGGTCACTGGTAATAGCTATAGAAGCCATTGTCGACGCACTATGAGGCAAGCCGAAACAAATCCGGAGTCCCTGCGCCTGAACACTCTGTAACGTTCGTAGGCTTATTTTGCTTGTATTGGTCAATGCCGGTAAGCTGTACCGCAGACAACCTAGTAAAAGTACCCTGTACAGCTGTAGCATTACACTGAGTGACATTCGTCAGGTCTGAAAAGAACTTCAGTAGTATACACATGTCTAATAACCGTTTTTTTTTATGTACGAGACGTGATCGCTTCATGATAGATTCCTGTCAATTATGACGCCCAAAAACTTGTGTGATCGAACGTATGGTACACTTCAACCATTGATGCTTACGGTGTACTTATTCATAGGCTCGCGTGTAAAAGCTACGAGGGTGCAATTTCTCGGAAGAAATTTCCCAGCTTCGATTCGGAAGGTAACGTAATGTTTCAGTGGCAGCTTTTTGAATTATCGCTCGCAAGCAGCAGGCGTGTTACAGCCGATGCCCCAAACGAAGATATGATCTCCGTACATTGATAGCCTGACTGTGCTTGGCCAGATGCTCAGTGAGAGCGATGTGCTTAAGATTGAACAGCATAGGGCTGAATACGTCACGCTTGGGGACGCCACGGTGGATGTAAGGTGGAGATGTTTGACCAGTCTTCAGTGCTCACCAAGGAGGATTGCATTGACAGATAACTACTTATCTAGCGATACACCCAACCACTTACGCCTACATCTTCGAGAGCCGTGAGCACTGCTTCATGCGTTACGTTGTCGTACGCCCCTTTGACGTCTAGGAACAAAGCAGCGCAGAGACGCTTACGGCCTTTCTCGTGTTGACGTAAATGACCAGGTCGACTACGTTGTCAATCGATGATCAACCTCGCCGAAATCCTGCCATGGAATCTCGGTAGATGTAGTTGCACTCCAAGTACCACTCCTGGCGTTCAAATAATCCTCTCACAAGTTTGCCTACACAACTGGCCAATGCGATCGGACGGTAGTATCAGAGCTCCAACAGTGACTTGCCTGGCTTCAGAAATAGAGACTGCGCGACTTGTCTTTCAGCATGTCAGGAGCGTCCCATGCTGCAAATTATGTCAGTACTCCTTTAAAAACAAATAAATTGAACAACTTC